AATAAATGTTTAAGGATTTCTGGCTTTCATTCACATTCCTGATTAAATTTGCATAGTTTTATATTATAAGCTCTCTTCCTCTCCCCCTTCTCTATCTATCATCTATCTATCTATCTATCTATCTATCTATCTATCTACCTACCTACCTACCTACCTGCCTATCCATTTTTCAGTTGTTCTTATGGATCAGCTTCTATTGAATTCTAATTACCTCTAAATAAGTTTTTTCAATTGGAAAAGGGGCTGTCTCCCTACCCCCTACCCTTTTGGTTTATAACTAGTCATAGCCCTAGAAGTGATGGCCTTAACTGATCTTTTCAACAGTTCTTTTGACCCAATCCTGCACTGTTTTGATTCTAGGTTTGCTGTGGAATTTGTCCTCTAGTGACAAACTCAAGAATCTCATGATAACAGAAGCCTTGATTATCCTGACTGAGAATATCATCATCCCCTATTCGGGGTGGCCAGAAGGAGACTACCCCAAAGCGAATGGTTTGCTCGATTTTGATATATTCTACAATGTCACAGGATGCCTAAGGTAATGCCACTCTGCAATCCCTCTCCACCACCCCCACCCCCCATACACACACACACACTTTTTTCTCCATGCACCTTAAATACTGTATTCATGTCTGCCTAAAACTCTACCCTATGACCGGTAAGGGGAAGCTGTAAGAATATAGATCTTTCTAACTACTGGAACCACTATGTAGAGACAGTGAGAACGGTTCAAATATCAATAGAGTATTGTTTCCAAACCCATTTGATTTCAGAAGCTACCCACCATAGCTCATAAGAGAGAGGGCGTCATTTTCAATAGAGAACCCAGGTATCTGATCTGAACACCTAGAGGTCCATGCAGAATGGCCTTCCCCGTCTCACAGGTTTTAAAGCAGTTTTCATGCTATTTTTAATTCACAAAAATCTGCTTTAATGACATGGCTAAAAGACATAATTTTGAACCTGGTGTTTTATTATTTTTATTTTTTATTGAGGGAGGTATAGTTGACCTACATTATATTATTTTCAGGTATATAACATAATGATTTGTTATTACATGTATTGTGAAATGGTCACCACAATAAGTCCAGCTAGCATCCATCACCATATATAGTTTCAGAATATTTTTTCTTGTGATGAGAACTTTTAAGATTTACTCTCAAATATGCAATACAATTATAATTATAATTATAGTCACCATGCTGTACATTACATCCCCAGGACTTATTTCTTTTATATTTTTTTCTTATTTATTGTTTTGAGAGAGAAAAAAGAAAAAAAAACTGATTTGTTGTTCGACTTATTTATGCATCCATTGGTTGATTCTTGTATGTGCCCTGACTGGGGATCAAACCTGCAACCTTGGCGTATTGGGAGGGTGCTCTAACCAACTCCGCTACCCAGCCACAGCCTGTATTTGCACTTTTTGGCACCTTTCAAAAATTTTGCTAACCCCCTCCATCCTCCAACTCCTCTCCCACCTTCAGCAGTCTGTTCTCTATATCTATGATATTGGTTTTGTAGATTCCATATATTAGAGAAATCAGACAATATTTGTCTTCTTCTGCTTGACTTTTTTCAGTTAGCATAGTGCCCTCAAGGTTATCCATGTCATCACAAAAGGCAAAATGTCTTTTTAAAAAATATACATTTTATTGATTTTTTACAGAGAGGAAGGGAGAGGGATAGAGAGTTAGAAACATAAATGAGAGAGAAACATCGATCAGCTGCCTCCTGCACACCCCCTACTGGGAATGCACCCGCAACCAAGGTACATGCCCTTGACTGGAATCAAACCCGAGACCCTTCAGTCCGCAGGCTGACGCTCTATCCACTGAGCCAAACCGGTTAGGGCAAAATGTCTTTCTTTTTTATGGCTGAACAATATTCCATTGTGTGTGCGCGCGCGTGCGTGCATGCCACATTTTCTTTATCCATTCATCCATCTATGGACACTTAGATTGTTTCTAAATCTTGGCTGTTATGAATAATGCTTCAGTGAATATGGGGTTTCATATATCTTTTTGAGTAAGTGTTTTAGTTTTCTTCAGATAAATATCCAAAAGTGGAATTACCTGATCATATGGTGGTTCTCATTTTCATTTTCTGAGGAACCTCCATACTGTCTTCTATAGTGACTGCACCAACTTAACATTTCTACTAACAGTGCACAAGCGTTCCCTTTTCTCTTCATCCTCCCAACACTTATCTGTTCACACTTTGATAGTCATTCTAACAGGTGTGAGGTGATAGCTCATTGTGATTTTGATTTGTTTTTCCCTGATGATCAGGGATGTTGAGCATCTTTTGTTGTTGTTGACTTTTCTTTTGGTGTCAAATCCCAAAAATCATTGCCAAGACCAATGTGAGAGAGGTAGCCTATATTTTCTTCTAGGAGTTTTATGGTTTCAAGTCTTTAATTCACTTTGAATTAATTTTTGTGTCTGGTCCAGTTTTGTTCCTTTGCATGTGGCTGTCTAATTTTCCTAGTGCCATCGATTGAAGAGACTTTGCTTTCCCCATTGTATATTCTTGACTCTTTATTGTAAATTAATTGACCATATATGGGTGGGTTTATTTCTGAGCTCGCTATTCTGTTCCATTGATCTATTTGTCTGTTTTTATGTCAATTCCCAAACTGTTTTTTAAAAATACCATACTGTTTTAATTAATTTAGCTTTATCATTTAGTTTGAAATCAGGAAGTGTGTTACCTCCAACTTTGTTATTCTTTCTCAAGACTGCTTTGGCTAATTGGGGTCTTCTGTGATTCCATACATATTATAGAATATTTTTTTTATTTCTGTGAAAAATGCCATTGGAATTTTTTAATCCTCACCTAAGGATATGATTTTTTTTATTGATTCTAGAGAGAGAGAAAGGCAGAGGGGAGATAGAGAAACATTGATGTTAGAGTGAAACATCGATCACTGCCTCCTGCACACTCCCCACCAGGGACCAAGCCCACAACCCAGGCACATGCCCCAACCAGGAATTGAACTCACACCCCTTTGGTGCACAGGATGATGCCCAACCAACTGAGCCGCACTGAATTTTGATATGGATTGTATTGAGCCTGTAGATTGCTTTAGGTAGTGTGGACTTAACAATATCAGCTGTTCCAATCCACAAGAGTGTGGTATATCTTTCCATCTATGTATATCTTATTCAATGTCTTACAGATTTCACCTTCTTATTTAAATTTTTCCTGGGTATTTTTAAATAGCTATAAGGCAACATTGCCTAAAAGGACAGAATGTCTTGCCATAAGAACCTACAAAGAAGCTAGTTTGATCAGCATTTCCTAACATTGGGATAAAAAATGCTTGAACTGTTATTTTCCCTTGGGTTGTCAGATGACAACTAAATCAAGAAGAAATAGAGCCCTCGTTGGTTTGATTTAGTGGTTAGAGCGTCAGCCCGAAGACTGAAGGGTCTCTGGTTCAATTTCAGTCAAGGGCACATACCTTGATTGCAGGCTCAATCCTTGGACCGGTCCAGCTGCATGCGAGAGGCAACCAACCGATGTTTCTCTTTCACATAGATGTTTCTCTCTGTCTCTCCCCTTCCCTTCCACTCTCTCTAAAAATCAATGGGAAAATTTTCCTTGGGTGAGGCTTAACCAAAAAAAAAAAAAAGAAAAGAAAAAAAGAAGAAGAATAGAAGCACATGCAAGAGAAAGAAAAAAAATGCTAGTCTTCTCTAGATTCATGCACATCAAGCTTTCTCATATTTGAAAATATTCATTGTCCTTTATGTTCAAGGATTAAAAGAAATCAGATAGAGGATGTAATAAAAATTAGGCAGTCCCAAAGAAGTCAAGATGCATGCTGCCTTTCAATCTTTTCTCTAGTTACAGAGTTCATTTTGTTGTTGTAGTTTTTAGGGAATCTGGGTGTTAACTGAGGGAATTTATTATGGTAAGATGTTTCTCTTACCTCCACAGTTAGTAATGCGTATCAGATACCACTTTTGTGTAATACAGTATGTTAGCTTCTGAGCGTTTTACAAAGAAAAAGTAGAAAGTCCTTCAGGAACTTTTAATCTAGCAGGGGATTCTGATGAGCAAACGGTGTAGAACACTGCCACATGAAATGTGTTAGAGCAGTGGTTCTCTAAGGGGGGCCCCCAGTAGCATCTGGAACTTGTTGGAATTCTTGGAATCAGACGCTCTCAGGGTGGGGCCCAGCAATCCACTTTTAACAAGCCCTCCAGGGGCTTCTGGTGCACTGTGGTGTCATCAGAGGTCCAGGTAGTGCCGCAGGAATGCAGAACAAAGGGCCATTCATGCCAGCTGAGTGAGATCAGAAAGACACTAAAGAAGAGGCAGAGGCGCCAGGTGAGCTGGGCCTTGCTGGACTATTTCAATAGTCAGGAATTCTCTAAGGACAAAATTCTTCAACAGTATAAGAGGTGCTTAAATGGTCTCCCTTGAATCCATCTCCTATATACAGTCCCCTGGAACTGCTTTTTAAATGCATTTTTGAGTCTTTAAAACTTTGGATCCATTTAAAAACATTTTGTATTTTAAGATTTCTCTGTAGTTCCTTTTGCCTTACCATGTACAGCAGAGTTCTTAATGTGGCAAGTGTGTCAGTCAGGATTTTTTTCTGTTGAAAATGGCTGGTGCCAAGTTGGGATTCCTGGGCTCAGGTGGCTGAATGTTGACAGTCATTATGGAATTGAAGGAATTACACCAGGAACCGTGGCCTCAAGGACTGGGACAGACATTCAGAATGCCTGCTACTCACTCTTTTTTTTTTTTAAATCTCATCTGTTTCCTCTCCTTTTGCATGCTGGGCTCATTCTTGACAAATGCAGGCAAGCATACACATTTTTAAAATCATTAGTCACTAACACCTAGCAAAGTTTCTGGCATATAGTAAGCAAATGTAAAGTATATGAATGAAAAGAATAAATGAATGAGTGAGCAACTGAAGATACATGGTGAATAATCGAGTCTGTCAAGAATGTCAAATTTTGTTGTTGTTGTTAATCCTTACCTGAGGATATTTTTTCCCATTGATTTTTAGAGAGAATGGAAGGGTTGGAAGAGGGGTGAGGCGGAGGTACAGAGAGAGAGAGAGAGAGAGAGAGAGAGAGAGATCAATTAGTTGCTTCCTGTATGCACCCTGACCAGAGCTCAAGGATGGAACCTGCAACCCAGGTACATGCCCTTGACTTGGAATCAAACCTGAGACCCTTTGGTCCCCAGGCTGGTGCTCGAACTACTGAGCCAAACCAGCCAGGGCAAAGGTATCAAATTTGTGATAGAAAATAATCAAACAGAAGTTGGAAACATAGGCTAAGGCCAGACTCTGGAGGCCCTGAAGGCCATGTTAAGGAGTTCAGTATGGCCCTAGCAGATTTTGTTCAGGATAGAGCGTTAGCCTGCATACTGAAAGGTCCCAGGTTTGATTCCGGTCAAGGACACATGCTCAGGTTGTGGGCTTGATCCCCAGTATGGGGCATGCAAGAGGCAGCCGATCAATGATTCTCTCTCATCTTTGATGTTTCTCTCTCTCTCTCTCTCTCTCTC